GTTATACTCTCGTACACTTGTAATTCTTTAATGTAATATTATTACTTAATATTACAAATAATCTTCAGTTTGCATTTAAGGTATTTATATTCGTTTTGTTTTATGCTAAACCTGTAAATGTATGAGTTTAATATTTATATATGAATATTGATCCATTTTTTAAATAATTAATGAATAAATAAATAATAGGGGACGTTGATTTTGATTTTGTAATTTTGTATTTAAAATCGGTGCTTTTTTCAATTTTATTGGCTTAAAGCAATTTAACGTTTTGCATTTAAAATTAATAAATAATTTTTACTATAATATTTTTCCTAAATTCAATATATCGTATATATGCAAATTCTTCCACCGATTGAACAGCAGTACTACGTTGAAAACTTCAAATATTTTTTAAGGTACTATCTGTAATTTAAAATCAATAATTGTTAAATAAATTGTTTAAAATAGTCGGCCATATTGGATCAGCCATTTTGAATTTTTCCGATATATTCTTGTTTAGCGACCTCAAAAAGCCCTATATTACAAATATAAGTGAGATTGATTTAAAATCGATAATTGTTAAAGTGTTTCAAATAGTCGGCCATATGGGATCAGCCATTTTGAATTTTCATTTTCCGACTTCATATTCTTGTTCGATTTAAAATTCATTGAATTATTTTAAATGTTCTTAAAAAAACTATTTATTATTGTTTAAACAATTAAAAACAATTAGCGTACAAAAATAAGTTTATAACTTTTTTCTAATACTTATCTCCAAGTAATTTCAAAAGGTTTTAGGAAAATCCATGCTTTCCATAATTATTTCGAAATAATGCGTAATTTTAAGCTATCTTGACTCCACTAATGCCCAGTAATAAAGAATCTTGAGGATTTGAAGTTTTTGTCAAAAAAGTTGTTTGGTAATAAATGTTTACATTTTTGATAGTATCAAGTATAGTATTCCTGTGTGTCCACGTCGAATATTTTATTAAAACGCTGTAGGTTATATTATTTTTTTGTGCAAATATTAAAATTATCTGACGATTCTTGTTCATTGCATATATTTTCCCCGATGCGACTGTGGACGATAATAGGCTTGCCAATATCCTGAGAATATATTTTACCGATTAAAGAAATCTTTACGTCGATCGCTATGTGGTATTACGAATTCGTTCTAGTTAGTTCTAGTTTGGCATTACGCTAGTAGAGACCGCCACTTCCTGGATGGATTTTCTTTTATCTATCAGTTGCCATCGCTGTCTTACCAAAAGTGCGATTTCATGTCTATAAAACAGCGCCCTTAAGGGCCTTTATTTACTAGACAATCATAACTTATTTATTTGTAGATTTATTTAACAAATTTAAACAACTGAATATTATAAAATGTCAAAGCATTTTACAAAATAAATTATTGTGTTCCTAATAGATAACACTAAACGTACCAAGAAAAAAATGTATGTAAAGATAATTTTGTTCTTGTTTTGATAAAAGACTATTTTAATTTATAATGCAGTACATTACTTGCAGAGTTATTGAAGAGTAACGAATCGTAATATGTAATATTTCAAGTAGTCCTGTAGCCAGGGGGGTCCCAATTGCCTCCTTCATTTAGATGGAGTTACCCAAGTGTTTTTTGTGTATTATGAGCTGCAGAACACGAATTTTTTGGGTAGAAGTTTGCCCGGATGTCGATAAGTTTATTAACAAAAAACTTGCAAAAATACTGAGAACTTAGTTTTTGGCAAATAATCTTGTTGTTTGACCCATTTTAAGAAGAAAATGTCTCTTGCAATGTTTTTGTTAAACGCATAGATTTCGAGATAAACGCCGTTAAAAACTCGAAAAATGCAATTTTTGCGATTTTCAATTGTTAATAACTTTTGATTGAATAGGTATTTTGTAATTCTGCTGACGGTGTTTGAAAGTTCACGTTAAATACTACAAATTATGAATAATTGCAGTGTGAAATTTTGTTTTTGCCACTGTTATTTGAAGCTATAAACAAACAGCGATTGAGCGTTCAGAAGGATGCGCCGCGCGCCGTCATGTATGTAAAAGAGCGGTTGCCTTCTTATAAGCGTTTAACACACGATCTTGACGCGTACTCTTCATTTCTAGACCAAAGAAACGATGAAAACTCAACGAAACATTAACAATTTAATAAAAATTTGCAATATGTTAACAAAATTTTTTTATGAAAACTAAGTTTTTTAAATTTATTTATCATGTGGGTAGCAAAATTAAAGCTTTTTTGAACCTTGCGTCCCTCTAGACAACTGGTTTTAAAATAACGTGTTTATATTAATAGTTTTTTTTAAGCCAATTACGACTCCTACAGTTTACTGTTTAAAACGACGTTTTTTGTTTTAGAAACCTAATTACATCGTATTACCCCAAGGGTAAGTGACTTTTAATTCTTCATTTCTAGTTATACATCTTGTGTCCCTAGGGAAAGTGGGTTAAAATTTACTTTTATTTAATTCAATTTTTTTTTTTTGGGGAGACTACCAAAAAGGATATTTTTTTTCTAGAATAGGCCCCCACCAATTTTCAGCTTACAGGCCCCCACCACTGTAAATCAGGCACTGCACGAAGTTATTTACTTTTACAAATAACAACAAAATAATCAGACAGAAGTAGAAAATTGAAATATTATTTAGAATTAAAATTCATATAATATTTCAATTTTCTACTTCTATGTAACCCATTTTAATTAAATAATAATAGTCCGGGCGAATTGGGTATTTTTTTAAATCGGGTCTACCTCGAATTTTATGGGCTTAAAATTAAGTAAAAAATACACAGATTAAAATTCTAAATTTGTGTATTTGTAGAAGTCGAGCGTCATATTGTTTATAACAAAAGAAAAAAAAATGATTGCTCTCTTTTCAGTTTTTCGCTTATATCTCCGAAATTAAGCCTCTAATCGACATGAGGTATACTTATCGATTTTGTTCCTGAGGAAATTTGCTACAAGTTTTACATTGCAAAATTAGCGGAGAAAAAAAATATGCAAAATTTTCAGCATAAATAAAAACAACGAATTTGACTGAAATTAAATGAAACTATCAAAAAGTAAACGTAAAAAGACCTTCTTACTTTTCAAAATATCGAGAAGCATAATGAAATAAAAGAAAACGTGAAGTCAATAAAAAATGTATTTTTCGGGATCTGGCGATGACTTTCACAGACTTTTGCTTACACCATTCTAAAGAGCGGAAAAAAATAAGTTGATTTAAAACAAGCATTCCGGTAGCTGCTTTCTAAGTGCCACAATCCATTGGTTAAGTAAGAATTTTGAGAAGTCGAACGCAGCATGAGCACTATGACATCACAGCGCTTCCCTCTCCTAGCTATCGCTCAGCCGCGCGGATCACGCTGTTTTTAACGAATGTTTACTTCGTCACTTCTTGGTCGAAACCATTCAAAAAAAATTCAGCGTATAAAGGAAGTCTTCTACTATACAACGAGACCAAGTTTATTACAAAATATTAAGTAGAACAGCCAAAATACCGTTTTAAAAAAAATTATCTCGACTGCTATTGGTCGGATCGGGACGCTTTTTTTTTCTTAATTCATGTTTCTTTGAGCACTATTTGATGCAATTGGTTTGAGATCTGTACATTAAAAAATTGACGAGATAAGGACCCTAGTTACCGTTTTTTTTTGCAACTTAAAAATCTGAAAAATATATGCAAGCGCGAGAATGTAATTACCTTTCGATCTTTTTTTTTTACCGAATTTCGATATCTTGACTTGGGCAGAAGATATACGCGCATTTTCGACTTTATAATTTTGCAGTAGGCCGCCATTTTGAAATTGGGGATCCGGATTGCAGGTATTTGTTGACCACCCCAACAGTTATCTTTTCCTGTAGTTTCATCCAATTTCAGTCAAATTCGTTCTTTTTATTTAATGCTGAAAATATTGCGAGCTTTCGCAAAAGCCTATCCTGGTAGCAAATTTCCTCAGGAACAAAATCGATAAGTATACCTCATGTCGATTAGAGGCTTATTTTCGGAGATACATATAAGCGAAAAACTGAAAAAAGAACATTTTTTCTTTTGTTACGTACAATAAGACGCTCGACCTCTACAAATACACAAATTTAGGTTTTTATTATGTGTATCTTTTACTTAATTTTCGAGGTAGACCCGATTTTTGAAACAGGCATGTGTTTGGTCTAATTCACCCGGATTATAGTACACATTGTCAAACAATGTTGTCATGGCATTACCTGTCACTGTCACGGCCTAATTAGCGATATTTTAATTACCTATACACATTTTGGACCGTATCAATATCCGATATATCAAAATATATTATAACTAAATCTGTAAATCCTTATGTAAATCGAAAAAGGCAGAAATGCCTGAAAGAGGTCTAACAATTACAAGATGTCTTATTTTCTTAATAAAAGAACCTTCTTTTCGTTTTTTGTTACAGATGGACCCAACAAACCCTATATAACTATGCTCGAAAGGAAACGTTCTATCCAAATATGTAAAAATATACAGGGTGTTCCATTTAAATTAACAAAGTTAACATTCGCGGCCATTTTCGAAAAATTCATAAAAATCGTGCAACTTTTGTACTTCGCATTTTTTTATAACTCTAAAAACAAAAAAGTTAATGGAGGGGTCAAAATATAGTGAATCGCCCTGTAACTATGTCTCATCAGATTAAAAGGTCAGGTCTAAGTAATTATCGTCATTTAAATGTTCGTTACACCATCCACAATATCAGGATTAGGATCAATAGGACGTAACTCTTGCGCAACAGAAACCTTATAGGGATGCATGTACAGCTGCTTCTTTAATGCCTTGTGACAAGTCCCAACTGATACACCATACAGGACATACGTTGATTGAAATATTCTCTTGGCATATTATCAATATAATACTAGTATGTACAATAATTATTTCTTGTAAATACACAAATTAACCAGTGTAAAGCTGTAAGATTTTATATGTTGATACAAAAATAAATTCTAAAGAAATTGTAATGCGGTACCTGTTTGAGTAGATAACTGCGAACTGTTTCTTAATACTTCACACCATTTGTTGTCGAATATCTTTAACATATTTGTTAAAACTGTATAGTCCAGGAGAATTACACATCGACATGGCTGTTGCTTGACGTAACTTGGATATTAGTAAAAATCGGTCGAAAATAATATATACAATGAAAATGTAAGGTTGCGCCAAGAAAAAAGTTGTGCTATTTGCAGAAAAAATTAAAAACTGCAAAAATACTCAAAAATGACGTGTAACATTTTCCAACATAACTTCTTAAATATGCAGTTTACAGAAAAAACTATTACTGGTGAAATTGTTTGTTATGAAATTTGCTACAAGATAGAATTGTTTTGATACCTGCGCATATCATATTTTTGTTGCTAAATAGTCAAAACAACGTAAGAAAGTGATGATAATCGAGGTAATTTGGAAGCGTCAAACTGACAGGCAATACATTGTCCAATTCTACTATAAATGTAGATGTAAGTACTTTAAACGATTATAAAACGAAATTCCAAAACCCGATCCAAATCGGTCTGATAGTATTGGTATGAGATAATTTGTTACTAAATTTCAGCGCAAAATGTCGTTATTTTTTTACTTGAGTGCTGGGGTTAAAGTTAGGCATTTTAATCTGCGCTGATTTTTTTACACTTACTTGGACCCCTTAACAATCATATAGAATCATGCAATTATCGAATATCAATTTTCTTTTTTTGAATAATTTTTGTAGCGATTTTAAAAGTTAGAAAAATTTTGACTTTCTAAACAATTACTTTCGTGAAGCGGTTTTGCGGGTTGGAAAATATACCAAAGTACTAAAAAACAGTTCTCGGAAAGTCGCTTAATTTGAAAAAAAGAACGTTCAAATTGGTCGTATAAGTTCCGAGATATCGAGTGTTAAAGTCAACAAGCGTTAGCTGCAAAACTATGCATAATGTAACGACAACAAAATATGAATTTGGTAGGTTTTTTAAGAACATTTCTAAAGCCCTATCAGCTTATTACGACTACATAAAATTTCACACATTTCATTGTTGCTGTATATTCATGTAAATAATAATATCGATGGTAGATATACATAGTCCATTGTTAATGGTTATTAGTTTCAATAATTCGTAATAATGTTTAAAACCTTGAAATTTTTATTTAATATGTAATTTATTTATTTGATATTTATAAAACGTATCATTGCATTATTAAATTATTCCGCTTTTTTACAGCTGTTTTCTTCTACAAGCTGTCACGCGGTGACGGCCCATTGGAATATTTCGGAGACTATTTCGATTTGAATTTTGAAAATTTGGGACCTGGTGGTTTTGGAGGTTTTATTTAAAAAGAGTTTAAATAAAATAATGCCATTGTTGTAGTACTTCCGGTTATACCGGTAGTCGCCACCTATTTGCTTATTATAAATGGAACATCCTGTATATTTTTGCATATTTGGATTCTACGCGTAATTTTAGGGGAATTTTATAAAACTTCCCTATATTCATCTCTAATGCTCTAATGGTCTTCGACTTATTTCAATTTCACATTTATTGTCGCATTTAATTGACCGAACCGCCAAAACTTGGTTTTTCTAAATTAGACACCCTGTATATTTAATCAAAATCTGTTGTAAAAATTTACTCTATATCTATCCATATCTATTACATCTCCATATACCTATCTTTTAACTTTTCTGTTTTGACGTTTTTTGTGATAAATAAAATGATCCAATTTCTTGCGAGGATGGCTATGAAATTGCTAGCAAATTTAAATAATCAAATTAACCAACCATAACCAACCATAAGTCATCATTTGCTGTTAATCTGACAGTGGTACCTACTTAAAATTAGTTAAACACTGATTTGAAAATAATGGAAAACGGTACTTATTCAAATGCTGATATTATAACTGAAAACAGCAATGATGTTGTAAAAAAGTGAAAAACTTTAATAATACGATGATAATGAAAATATAATAAACACGTTTTATAAACATAAATAAATAATTATTTGTATCTATATCTTTTTCTATATTCTATGCATACAATAAATAAATTACATATTAAATAAAAATTTCAAGATTTTATTTAAACATTATTACCAATTATTAAAACTAATACCTTTTAACAGTGGATTATGTTCCTATATCCTACCATCGATATTACTATTTACATGAATATACAGTATAACAAATGTGAGAAATTTTAAGTAGTCGTAATAGACAGAAAAGGGCTTTATAATAATCTTGATAATTGAATTCCTCTCATTTTGCTTTATCGATTAAAAAAAAATCATCAAAATCGGAGCCATAGAAGCCGAGATATTGAACGCCGAAGCGCGCGCGCTTTTTTTTAGAACGCGCGATTTCAATTTCTATAATTCATCCCCTCCCCTCGGTTTTGCGGCACAAATGGTCGGCTTGACAATATTCATTGAATTTTCATAAAAAAGCACACGTGCGATCATATTTATAAAAACACATACGGAAAGTTCTTGAAAAAACCTACCAAATTCAATTTTTATTGTTGTTACATTATACATAGTTTTGCAGCAAGCGCTTGTTAACTTTGACACTCTATATCTCGGAACTTATAGGACCGATTTGAACGTTCTTTTTTTCAAGTTAAGCGTCTTTCCGAGAACTGTCTTTTAGTACTTTGGTATATTTTCCAACCCGCAAAACCGCTTCACGAAAGTAATTGTTTATAAAGTCAAAATTTTTCTAACTTTTAAATCCGCTCCAAAAATTATTCAAAAAAAGAAAATTGATATTCTAACGATTCTATATGATAGTTACGGAGTCCAAGTATGTGTAAAAAAATAAGCGCCAATTAAAATGCCTAACTTTAACCCCAGCACTCACGTAAAAAAATAACGACATTTCGTGCTGAAATTTAGTAACAAATTGTCTCATATCAATATTATCAGACCGATTTGGATCGGGTTTTGGAATTTCGTTTTATAATCGTTTAAAGTACTTACATCTACATTTATAGTAGAATTGGACAATCTCTTGCCTGTCAGTTTGACGCTTCCAAATTACCTCGATTTTCATCACTTTCTTACGTTGTTTTGGCTATTTAGCAACAAAAATATGATATGCGCAGGTATTAAAACACTTCTATCTTGTAGCAAATTTCATAACAAACAATTTCATCAGTAATAGTTTTTTCTGTAAACTGCATTTTTAAGAAGTTATGTTGGAAAATGTTAGAAAAAACGTCATTTTTGAGTATTTTTGCAGTTTTTAATTTTTTCTGCAAATAGCACATCTTTTTTCTTGGCGCAACCTTATATTTTCATTGTATATATTATTTTCGACCGATTTTTACTAATATCTAATCTACGTCAAGCAACAGCCATATCGAAGGTTTTGAGCTTAATTCTCTTGGACTAGTAGGGATGCTTGTCGACTGCCCCTACATATACAATATTTCTTCTCATATATTTTAATAAGGATTAATTTGTGGTTTTTAAATACATCATATAGAATATTAGCATCAGGAAACGCTTCATCAAATCGCTCCATACAGGATTGCAAAGAGTAAGACCAAGTTCTATCTGCGTTCCATGTACCACTGAGAAAATGTGCCATCAAAATAAATGCGTTTTATTTCGGTATAGACGACATTTTTACACAAATCTACAAGAAATAAAAAACTAACAATCGTAACATAACCTAAAAATATTCGTTTAACTTACGGGAAAAACGTCGAACAATTTCTTTTTCAAAGATTAATTTGTAGAAAAGCTTAGGAATTCTGGTAAATACTGCTTAAATTAATTGTACAAACAACGTACGCCTCTGGATTGACAATTCACCTAGGGTCTTAGTTGGTAATTTCTAAAACACCAGCATAAGAATATCAAATTTATTGAGCACCAAAACAAATCTCATCACGTGGGACTAGGGCATTTATGAAGACATGCATTGTGAATAGTTTTCATCTCTTAGTATTAAATTCGTTATTTTTCTCAAATTATAGGATATTTTACGGTTATATTCATATCATTTTATTTTAAATAACGAATTGTAATGATTGAAAAAAATAGCCGTGTTTGTAACTTGTCGTATTTAGGAGTGAGGGCACAAATTATGATTATTTTAAAAACCTGTTGTGATGAACATTTTTACAGCATCCAAAGTGGATATGGACATCCCAAATTTCGTTTAAATATCTATAAATACTGAAATTTATGTGGGTAACTACGTTGCAATAAATATGAATATTTTAATAAATATGTTTAATAATGTTTCTTGTGTAGCAAGCAATATGCAATTAAGAGGATTTTATTATTTTTTTCTCCAAAAATTAATCAAGATACGAAAAAACATTCAACAGACAAAAAAGTTGTATTTTTAGTTGCTTAATCCAAAAATATATATATATATATAAAATTACAAAAAGTTGGTGGCGAACACTTTTTGTCAAAAATATTCATTAAGGTACACCTCGGGATGCCACTGGACTTAACAAATCTAATCAAGTTATGGTTAAATTAGCCCCTTAACACTACAAGTAACACTGCCAAATTACAACAAAATTGAGTAAAGGGTATTTAAAATATTTACGAAATAGCAATTGTTTTATAAAAGTTTAACACCCTGTATCTTCAAAACAAAGCATCTGCAGACCAATGTTTATATGAACTTTTTGTCTTAAAATCACTTAAATAATCGTCTGTTGAATTTATTTTAAATATTTAATTAACACCCTGTATATCAGTCAATTTCTATGCCCCTATTAAATCAGAAAAAAAAATGTAGAAATAACTTCATGGTAATATTGGGAGTATAAGTTTGTCAAACGTATTAAGAAGTTCATAAAGGCATGTACTAGGTACATCTTAATATATTCATTGTAAGAAGAAGCTTTTGACCTTTGAACATGAACAGAAAAGTACTTGCTACTTCTATAAATAATTTATAATAGCTTTGTTCTTAGTACATTAGAAACAGTTTCCGACAGTCAGATGCTTATAGCATTTGATTCGAAACAATGAATTTTGAACCTTATGTAAGCATTACATCGGAATGCTCACGCATCTGTCTGTTGGAAACTTGTGGATTGCTCTAGGAACAAAGCTAATAAAACAAGACCTTTGACGACTTATATATTCTTATACTTTGTAGATAGATAATTATATACATACTACAGGGTGTCCGGAAACTATGTGTAAAATATTTAAGGGGTTAGATAGGCTTTGAAAAACAAATTAAGTCTTTTTTATGTTTAATAACTAAAATTTATGTTTTTGTGGATTACAGTTAGATGCTGTTTTTTCTTTTTATTACTATTGTTTTCTACTATATCCTGTAATTGGGCGCTTGCTCATTGGGTATTATAATAAATAACTAAATAAAACAATGGTTTGCCAGCATTTTTTGTGTTGTAAGATACGCATCTCTTTAAGTACCTATCAGTTTTTTGACTGGTAAATTTGTTTAAATGATAATATTTTTGTGTAAAAAATCTGATGTTTATCATCACTACTTATGAGACAATCTACATATCTATTTTCTTATTTTCAGGTAATGCAATAGAAGCAAATTCAGTGAGCTTCGGAACATTAACATGAAAATGGTTCTATCCCAACGCCAGCGAGAAGAGCTGTAAGTTTTACAATTATACATACAGGGTGATTCATTAGCAATGGGAAAATCAAAAGCTGAAGATACTACACGTAAAATGGTGACCATTGGCGTAAACATGCCTTATCCGAAAGTTGATAGTTTCGGAAATACAGGGTGTTGAAAGTAAAAATTTAAAATCGTTTTTTGCGATTATTCTGAAACTATGTAGGTTAGGAACTTGAAAATTTGTGAAACTATATTTTTTTAAGCGACAAATAAGATGCGTGTTGCAATTTCAGCGTTGGTCATAGAGGGCGCCACTTACGACCAATTTTACCGAAAATTTAGTTAATAATTTTTTACCCTGTATGTCTAATATGAAACTTGATTCAAAACCTGAAAGAGCAATAATTTTTCCATTAATTATGTACTCTTGTTTCATTTCGGTATCTCGATCCGTTTTCGAGAAAAATCGCTTTAACGAACACTATGTTTTGATAATACGAGAAATTAAAAGCGAAACAAACCAAGTCTTTCTTCGTGTTATTACAACAATTAACAATAAAACAAATAAAATACGTAATTATGATTTGAAGTAATTGTTCGAAGAATTCACCGTTGACTCTGATACACTTTACACAACGTTTTCTGATATCTTCAAGTTTGAAACAACATATTGGGATTGCGTCTGACTTCGCTGGCAGCGATTCGTATTCTTTGGCACAACTCTTCACACGAACCAATAGATTTTTTGTAAACTATATCTTTCATTCAAGACCAAAAAGAAAAATCAAGAGGATTAAAGTCCGGACTTCTTTCTGGGTGGACAAGCAAAAATGTTTACATCGACAATCCAGCGATTTGGAAAAACTACATTTAAATATGCATGCACTGGCCGAGAAAAATACGGTGGAGTTCCATCGTGCATGAACCACGTGTCTCTTCTTAAATAAAGTAGAACTTCTTCAAGCCGTGGAAACATTTTTGCTTGGACACCCTTGGCAGACGCAATCCCAATATGTTGTTTCAAACTCGAAGATCTCTCAGAAAACGTTGTGTAAAGTGTATCAGTGGCAACGGTGGATTCTTCGAACAATTACTTTAAATCATTATTACGTAGGTATTTCATTTGTTTTATTGTTAATTATTGTAATAACATGAAGAAACACTTAGTTTGTTTCGCTATTACTTTCTCGTATTATCAAAACATAGTGTTCGTTAAATCTATTTTTCTCGAAAACGCATCGAGATACCGAAATGAAACAAGAGTACATAATTAATGGAAAAATTATTGCTCTTTCAGGTTTTGAATCAAGTTTCATGTTAGACATACAGGGTAAAAAGTTATTAACTAAATTTTCGGTAAAATTGGTCGTAAGTGGCGCCCTCTATGAGCAATGCTGAAATTACAACACGCATCTTATTCGTCGCCTAAAAAAATATAGTTTCACAAATTTTCAAGTTCCTAACCTACATATTTTCAGAATAATCGCAAAAAAACGATTTAAAATTTTAACTTTCAACACCCTGTATTTCCGAAACTATCAACTTTCGGATAAGGCATGTTTACGCCAATGGTCACCATTTTACGTGTAGTATCTTCAGCTTTCGATTTTCCCATTGTTAATTAATCACCCTGTATATCTCCAAAATTGAATATGTGTGGGCAAATTTTGCAGTTGGTGTGAGGTTTTCCATAGCTTCCCAAGAGATAGATAATAGTTAATTCTAAAGTAAACAATTGACGTATAAAAAATTTTTCATTTTGGTCCATTTGTGGTGTTTATTTTTTCATGATTCATGAAAAGTGTGTCGTGTTTTTATTAGCATTTATTTCTTTAATTTGTCCATCTTTGAAAATTTTAATTTAGAGCTTTATTTACAAGATATTGCAACCTCTTTAGACTTTATAAAAATTTACTTGAATTGTACGATTCAGAAATGTTTTTGCATAACTTCCAATAATAATAAACTGTAAATTCTCCAACACATTCGGTTATTTTTTAAGTATATTTTACTACTTGAGTTATAATATTAAAATACATCCAACTTAAAATCTCAATATTAAATCAATTTTATTTCATATTATGAAGTAGACGTATAACTAAAACCTTGTTAATGATTCAAAATGTGCCAATTTTTTTAATTGCCAGGCCCTAAGCATAGCATAGATAAAAAATTCCCCTTGCTCATTAAATCAAGCCGTATCAAAATTATACAAAATTTCAAAAATTTTAGGAGCAACCTTAATGTTCGACGTCTGCTTCAAAACCCTTTTTTCCATTCAGGTTTTGATTTGCTTAACTAAAATAACAAAAAGAATGTACCAGCATGAGATAAAAGTCTATACAAAATTTGATTAGATGTTTTAAAAAAAAATCCAACTAGTGATTTAAATTTTATCTTTGAATTCCTGTATTTTGAAAAAGAGGCGCTTATATGAAAAATAACTTGTAAAATATTATTTTCATCTAAATGATAGGTATGTGGTTAAAAATGGCTCAATTTACTTTTTTCTAAAAACTTGTAAGTACAAATTTTATGACAAAAATTAAAATGTTCACAAATAAAAAAGTTATTGGACATTATAAACACAAGATCAAAAATAAAAGGCATCCCTTATTTTTCAATCAAGATATGGGAAATTTCACTATTCAATTTTTCTAGAAAATTGTGGTGGAAACAACTTCACTACATTTTGTCTTATCTTTTAGGGAAACAACTTGAAAAACATGAAAATGTATCTACCTAGTACTATACTCATAATACGAATTGAAAATCTATACAGGGTGTCGGGAAAGTTTATGTCAAAAATGAAGGGGTATACAGGGGAGGTCAAAATAGTTGTAGTACTTCATAAAAAAAAAAATTCCTGTCGATCTTCGTTGTGGTTCGCCTTCGAAGAAAGAAGTTTGAAAAACAAATTCCAATTATAACTTCTAAGTCGTTACCATGACAACAATGAAATTTGGACAATTCAAGTGACTCATGGTAATGTTCATTTCCAAGTTTAAACTGATTTTAAATATACATCTTTGACAGCGTTGCCAAATTTGGCATTTTTCTTTCATAGTTTGATTTCTCTCCCACTTTGCTAAAAAAAAAGATATACCGTATATCAGTCGATATCTTATACTCTTTTTGCGAAAATCGAATTTTATTAACAACATACATGTATTATATCAAATATGCGATATTAACATTTTTGCAAAAATCTTGGGAATTAAGATTGATATGACTGTCAACAAGTATGTGTAATTAGTAGATATTTGTCATAAATCATTTTGACACCATTTGTTGATTCAATATCAGGGAGGATTTTAGCTGTGAAGAATTTGCAGATATTCATCTAATGTACGAATTTGTAGAACGTAATGCTTCTGAAGCTGACAGTTTAAATGGGGATAAACACCTATATTTACTCTAAGAACACCTTAACTCATTAAGACGTCCCTTTAAATATTCGAAATAACGTGGCTTATGCCCGATGGTGCACCACCCCATTTTAGCAGGGCAGTAAGGGCTTATTTAAATACCACATTTCCGAATCAACGGATCGGTCGAAGTAGTCCTTTTCCTTGGCCACCTCGGTCTCCCGATCTTAATCCTCTCAATTTTTTTCTTTGGGGTCATCTTAAAAGTTTTGTTTATCAAACTCCTGTAAATAGTAGGGAAGAATTATTAAATCGCATAATTACATACGCCATGAATAGAAATGATCACCACATGTTATTTTGAGAGGTGTTTGAGCAATTTCAGAAAATGCATTGAAGTTCAAGGTGCACATATTGAACATCTTACTTAACAGTTCTCATTTTTCTTTTAATTCTATAGAAATCAAGATTTTTACAAAAATGTTAGTATTGATAAAATAAATGTATGTTGTTAATAAAATTCGATTTTCACAAAAAACGGTACAATATATCGACTGATATACGGTATACCTTTTTAATCAAAGGGAGAGAGGAATTGAACTATGAAAGAAATATGTCAAATTTGGCAACGCTGTTAAAGATGTATAAATTTAAATAGATAATTTCGTCTGCTCCTGTATAATCCAGATATATTGGATATCACTTTAAACTTGGAAATAAACATTACAATGAGTTACTTTAATTGCCCAAATTTCATTGTTATAATGTAACGACTGAGAAGTTATAATTGGAATTTGTTTTTCAAATTTGTTTCTTTGGCGGCCAAAGTGAAGCTTTGTAGGAAAACATTTTTTATAAAGTATTACAACTATTTTGACCTCCCCTGTATACCCCTTCATTTTTGACATGACCTTTCCAGACACCATATATATCGAGAAACCCAAACCATAGGACCAACCCAATAGTGCTATAGTATAGTCTTTCCGAAGTCAGTTGAACATGTAAAAAAACGCCTGGCAATAAAATTTAATGACTTTCATAGGCGTCCCTAAAAAAATTTTCTGCTTAAGGTAAAAAATTATAATAATTTGTATACATATAATGTGTAGAAAATTTCTATTATATGTTGATTTGGCCATACATACATACTTTAGTTATTTATGTCCTCAAACAATTTTATTATATTTATTGTAAATTTCGTTTTGTTTCGTTTCAAAAGGTCTCCAAAATGCCATGTTGTATTAATAATATTTCCCCCTTTCGCAATTGTAATATCAACGATTGATAATAACTGAATCACACCAAATTCCGCATTGCTGCACTGCACTGCTGGGCAATTTGTCACCACTTGTCAACACTGAGATTTATTGCCCCTTCACGTTTAGTTCGACCAGACCTGTATATGGATATGGCTAAATAAATATGGGAACAAGTTTTTCAAATATTTCAATGCCGAGTTGCTACCGTCAGCGACCGAAACTGGTACATACTGTCAACCTCTTGGTTCTTCAATTGATATCGGAAAGACTATAACATTGATGACATGAGTAAAATAGACAGCAAATGTATTAATTCTATAAGCATATAATTTTTCTAACAGCTAAGTAATAATTAATTAAAATTTGTTAAGGACGAAATTTTATATTTTTTATTTGAGTACCTAGAAAATCTGAATTTTAAACAAATTATTAAAGCTGTATATTTTATGACTAGGTAGAGTAATATTTTTCAAAAAAGTTTTTTATTTAATAGGGAAGATAATCTACTAATCATATATATTAAAACGTGGGGGTTACTCTCGCTCGCACGCCCACCCCCGAAAAAGGGCCGCGTTCCCATGACAAAGGCTCCCTCGGCGAGCCGCGCAGCGGCGATGTTCGGGTCGCGAAGCGACCCGTCGTTCTTGCTGCGTTGTTTAGGGGTGCTCCGGTGCGTGCTTTCCCGTGTTTTCCTCTCGAATTTTCCGCGTTTCCGCGAAGTGAGACGCAGATACTCCGAAACGCCCTCCATCGGAAGCGTTTCGGGGTCGATTTCTCCGACCGAGGGCTTTTTTCCCGGGAGGGATCGGGACTCGCTTCCGCTTTTACGCGAAAGTTTCGTTCTTTCTGAGGGTCTCGGGCGTATTTTTGCGGCGTATTTTTTACTTTTTAACGCCGAAATTAGCTTTTCAAAAAGGGTCTGCATCTCGCGTTTCTCGCCAGACCCCGATTATTTTATAAAGCCCAGATTATTTCGGCGAAAACGCCGTTTTCGCGACGGCGTAATTTTTTTCCCTCGCTCAATCGGCCTTCACTTTCTGCGCGAGAACGAAGCCCTGGCCTTTCTCTCGGCGCACGGACCGCGTCCGAGGACGGAGGAAGACCCGGTTGGCCCCCCGCGACGCCTTTCCGGCGACGCGTCGCGACTTTCTTCTATATCTCCATCAACTTTTTTTAGGTCGAACGTAACAAAATTTAAGACCGGCATTAGCGATATAAAATTGTGCGTTTAGCCATGGGCGTCTCTCAGGTCAGGTGAAAAGAGAACGTACTTTCCGCGGCTCTTACTAGATGTTGGCAGGGTTTCCGCAGCCGAATTCTTCACGAGTGACGTCACGATACCTTTCCCTTTCCGCGAAAAATTATATTCGGCCCCCGCAGTAGCCCCAACGGATCGTAAGCGATGGTATAAAACCCTTCGACAAAAAATTTTGCGAGTTTATGACAGCCGATGACAGCGGTAAAACTAGTGAGAGTTCAATGTGACAAGATGGCCGCCGCCCGTTCGTAGGAAAAACGGAAATTTTCAACTTTATATGCGCCGATTTGTGTAAATCGCGCTAGCGGGGGCCGTTTTACGTCGTATTCTTTGGTATTGTATTGCTTTTGTATAGTTTTTTTCCCAAGAAGAAAATTACGTTGGACAGGCGGGTTACTTGGCCCCACGAATGCCGAGACAAACCTTGAAGACCTTTATCTACTTTTCCCATGGTGCATAATCGAGCCTGTTAATTCTGTGATCTGTCAAATCCAATCTTGACATCGAGGGAAGTACCAAGTGAGGGAAGTACCAAGTTTGGCTACTTCATACTGGAATACAGATATTTGATGTGGAGTCTCGAACCATTCTTCAACCCTGGAAGCCACCAGTGATTACAGTGATAAAAAAACGAGTGACCTTCGTAAGTACCTGCTACTTATAAAATTGTGAAACGTGTTCTACAGTCAGAAGATTTTATATCCCCTCTGCCACAGTAACTTTTTAGTAAGTAGTACAATATAATCTGAACACACGAGGAATTTTCACAGTCAAACAAACAAATACGTACTGATTCGTATGTCTATACACAAAACAATATAAATATAAAGTTTGGCTGTTTTTTGAAGAGATACTGCGGTGTGTCTTCCAGAGGCCCTTCGGTTGAATATTAAATTTCAACTCCATTCCAGTGGGTATACAAGTTTCGCAAGTGCAATGTAAAAATGTTATGGAAAAGTGAAATGTGTTAAAAACTGAACTTGCAGATTTTCTATCTTTTAGGTATACCTGTAATTTTATTAGTTAGCTAAACATGTAAGTAAGTCTGTTTCCATGTTATCCTTTTCTCAATAAAGAATGTATTTACTACAATGAATACTCATGGAACTATAATTTTTTATTAATGATGATACAATGTTAAGAATCAACAGATAAATGTCCTAAACCTCATGAATTGTGTAAAACATACTGACAAATATTAATTTCTTTTACTTATATATGAAAAATATGTGTCTAATTGAATAGGATAACCAATTCTTAATTATTTAGAAATACTACTAAAATTTCTTTTCATATTTATAAAACTAATAAGTTAATAAAAACATTTTACTACAAAATATGGTATGATATACAAGGTGTTGCTCCTATGGAATTCAAGAAAAAAATAGGTCATCTTTTGACTAGCAAGTTAAGACAGAAATACTATTCGAAAATATGAAATTAATATTACAGTTACAGTACAGGTAATATTATTAATTGTTATTTTATTAGAACTCTATTTCATTCAACACCTTTGTATACCTGCAGGTAAGTAATTGTTTGCTATTTCACTTATAGTGATATTTCTGATATTTCAGTGAATTTGAAAAAAACAATATATACTTACCCCACTATATTATTCTTTAATAACATTTCTTTTCAAAATTACACTATTTTTTTTTAATAAAACCTACATATTTAAACTTACAACCCAGTAAGTACCTATAGAACTATTAGGTACTACATTTATTTTTCACAAAACATATAGAATGTTAAATATATTATGGATTACTAATGAAAAAAAAATATTTCACGTGCCCATCTTTTCTAATTACCTAATATTTTCAAAAATGATTTGAAGAATATTTTAGAATACAGTCAAAATAAATTTCAGAAACTTCTAGGCTCAATATTGCAGATTACAT